TCTCATCTTAGGCTCTCTGGAAAGCTGAGGATCTCCCCCGTCGATCCAGGGTGCTCAGTGCTCTGTAGGCGCAGGAGAACGGCCTAAAAACACTTCGAAAGCTGCACCAATGCGGCATTGTAGTGCTATTCTACACTCAGCGACAATTTCTTTCGATTTGCGGCTCATACTCAACGTACAGCGACGATTCAAACACCAGCAGAATCAGGCTGTTATAGCACTGAGTTTAGTGTATGTCACGCATGGGCTGTGCACTGGGGAAATCCCCCGTAATCAAACACCTTGTCAACTGTAGCATGCAGTGTGTCACAGTCACACGCTTGAAATTTCAATTGCACCCATTTCCTGAACTTCGAGCTTCGGCGCTTGAGTATTTTACTTCGCGCTTTATCGAATGATACATCGATGGAAAGCTGCGTTCAATAGCTTTCCAATGAGCTGTCATTTGTTGAATTCGAAGTAGGGAGGCCGAAGTTATAGCTGTTTGTACAGTGGTCTATGCTCGTTTCTATATGCTCCGTGTGCATGACGAGTTATCTCGTCCTTGGCCATTCAGGGTGGTTGTTTCAAGACGAGTTATCTCGGCCTTGGCACTGAAAGGGTTAAAGTCAGCATATTTATTTTCGGCTATGTTCGGCCTGGTCGTGTTTGGCTGAAATTTTGTTGGGGCCAACATTTTGTTTTCCAAACGTTCAGTGTGACAGTGTATACAGGCGGCAGCAGTACAGGCCGAAAATTTGATGCGGCCGAAAAGAGTTTTAGCCCTTGCAGGCCGAAATTTGAATGGGCCGAAAAGTTGCCGACTTACAATAACTCGTATCCACATGTTCTTTTCCTTTCTACATTTACAGTACATGTAGCTGTTTTCATGTACAGTATATGTAGCTGTTTTTGTTCGTTTAGCCATTGGTGTATCTGTACCTGCCGTTTGGTTTTAGTCTCGAGCAAGAACAGCAGTACTACTGTCCGTTGTTCTGCTTCGACTACCGTAGCCGCTGCTGCTGCTGCTGCCATGTACAAGTTCTTTGTACTTTGATGTCTGGCTACGCATGATGGCATCAGTGAGTCAAACAGCCACGAAAGACTGATTGTCATAACAAAATTTCATCCTGGGCTGGGGGATTGTCGAGTTGTAAACTCTTGGCCATGTACTCTTGATTAAAGCAATGAAACCAAGGACAGATATATGTACAATGTGTGACAGGCTGTGAGGTAAAATGTGGGCCAGTTGTCAAGAGGAAGAGAGGATGTCTGCGAAACACAGTGACACAGAAAGCAGCATGCAGGGCCAGCAGGGGTGTCGCAACCGGTGCACCAGCTGCGGACAAAGCACTACCATTCTCTCTACCAATAATTTCATACCGTGCTTGGGAAGCTTTTGTTTTGCACAGCGTGAAGCAATAAATATAATATACCGTAGAGTCTTGTATAAAAGCCGCGGCTTCTATGACTTTATTGGTGAAATTTTGAAGGCTTCTATATGAGACAGGCTTCTATACAAGACAGGTATTTCTATGTGTGTCAACACTAAAACCAGGCTTATGTGTGATTTGATGGGCCCAAAATTGCGGCTTCTATTCGAGGGCGGCTTCTATTCAAGTGCGGCTTTTATACAAGACTTTACGGTAGGCTATCTGGGCCCAATTTTCCCATTTTTCCTGGGAACAAGGGCCCCCCGGCCTCCCCGCCTCTTCACGGCCGCACCAATGCCGAATACCTTCCAACGCCCCTGCCATGGGACATTGAGAAACACAGTAACACAGCAAGCAGCATGGGACATTGAGCAGCATGGGACACTGAGCAGCATGGGACACTGAGCAGCATGGGACACTGAGCAGCATGGGACACTGAGCAGCATGGGACACTGAGCAGCATGGGACACTGAGCAGCATGGGACACTGAGCAGCATGGGACATTGAGCAGCATGGGACACTGAGTAGCATGGAACACTGAGCAGCATGGGACACTGAGCAGCATGGGACACTGAGCAGCATGGGACATTGAGCAGCATGGGACACTGAGCAGCATGGGACACTGAGCAGCATGGGACACTGAGCAGCATGGGACACTGAGCAGCATGGGACACTGAGCAGCATGGGACACTGAGCAGCATGGGACACTGAGCAGCATGGGACACTGAGCAGCATGGGACACTGAGAAACTCACCGTGAAGCAAGCAGAAGTGAGGTTATACCAAGAAGTTGTAGCTGAGTACGCTCACAGCCAAATGAGACAATCCAGCGATCGACGAGGTTCATAGCCAGGTGAACGACAAGAGGCGAGTACGCTTTCTCACAACTGACCTCCATCAGCCAATCAACAAGAATCGTCCTGGACACACACACACACACACACACACACACACACACACACACACACACACAGAAAAAGCCGGGCGAAAAGGTTATAAACAGTGCAAGAGGGAGCTAGCTTGACTCCTTAACTACTATTGATTTTACTGCTGATTATACATGAAGCCGTGAAAGGGGAGAAGCCAAAAAAAAAAAAAAAAACCTGGCGATCTACAAGCTAAAACAGTGTCGAAGTGCCGGTTGTGTAAGGCTAGCTAACCATGAGGCAAATCTGATTTTTTGAATATATTTTTTTCTAAGTTCGAATTTTTTCAGCTGGTTCAAAATATCACCGCAAATTATCACCGCCGGCATTTGGGGTTGCTTCTGCTTCACTTCGGACTGCTGTTTGGTGTCGAGATGTCTTTTCAGCGCCGTCGTTGAGTAGCCTTTGTAAGAATAGACCGTTTTGCAAAGATTGCAAGCAGCCCTGTTCTTCGCTGCATCGCGGGAGAAAACTTCCAAACGACTGAGCGTAACTTTCACTCGAATGGATGAGGTGACCGAAGCATATCCTGCAACAGGTCAGCAGATGCGGAACAAGACATCAGTAGAGCCCACCAAAGCCGCAACGACAACTGAAACAACTCAAGTGTCGTCCAGGCATACAGTCACTGTAACTGCGAGTGATTTTCATTTTGCACGGGACCGGACTCTCGATCGTCCAGGGAGTCGTAAAATAATATACGACTCCCCGGTCGACATGTACTGCCATGTGTACGGAGTACGGTGTACGGTGTTTGTTAGTGCAAACGAGCTGGCCGAACAAACGAGCCGAGTTTCTGGCGAGCGAGCTAACGAGTACCCGGTGAGATCGTTTCAACACTAGTTCAAACCACTATTCTATAACGAAGGGCTTGAGAACAAAATGCTGTATGCGCCAAATCTTCAAAGTTGAGATTTTGACCCACCCGAAAAATCACAACGAGCTGAATTTGATGGCGAGGTCGTTTTTGGCGAAAACGCAGTATATCCAACAAAAAACCTCATTCAAACAGTCGCTTTCAGAGCAAAACGCTGTATATCCGGCTGGGATTCTTTTTCAAAACGCAGTATACGCCAAAAGTGGATGAGCGTGCGGCAGTCGGAGAAACTATCACAACTCACATCACTTCATTTATGTGCCGGGCCAGCCATTACGAAGACGTGGAATCCCTGGCCGGAAGTACCTTCCAAGCGACCTGAGTGTTGCCGGTATGCACCAGCTGTTTGAGGAGCAAACCCCCATCACGAAACCAGTAAGGAGCAATCCCCCCCCCCCCCCCCCCCATCACGAAACCAGTTAGCAGCACCCCCCCCCCCCCCCCCCCCCCCATCACGAAACCAGTTAGCACCCCCCCCCCCCCCCCATCACGAAACCAGTTAGCACCCCCCCCCCCCCCCATTACGAAACCAGTTAGCACCCCCCCCCCCCCCCCCCCATCACGAAACCAGTTACTCTGTGTTACAATGTGTTCCGCTCTCCGTTCAACCTTCATCCGGCAAAAGATACCCTGCACAACGTGTACCGCACATGAAGAGCGTCTGAGCGATGAGTCCATTCCGATACCGGAGAGGCAGATAGAGGCAGCTTCATTCCTACTGCATTGGCGGCGAGCGAGGACGTTCTATGACCGAATGAACCTGTGCCCAGAATCCTCCGTCACTGTGTGCTTTGATATGATGTGTGCCCAGAATCCTCTGTCACTGTGGGCTTTGATATGATGTGTGCCCAGAATCCTCTGTCACTGTGGGCTTTGATATGATGTGTGCCCAGAATCCTCTGTCACTGTGTGCTTTGATATGATGTGTGCCCAGAATCCTCTGTCACTGTGGGCTTTGATATGATGTGTGCCCAGAATCCTCTGTCACTGTGGGCTTTGATATGATGTGTGCCCAGAATCCTCTGTCACTGTGGGCTTTGATATGATGTGTGCCCAGAATCCTCTGTCACTGTGGGCTTTGATATGATGTGTGCCCAGAATCCTCTGTCACTGTGGGCTTTGATATGATGTGTGCCCAGAATCCTCTGTCACTGTGTGCTTTGATATGATGTAAAACCTAGTGCATGTATTGGAGAAATCACCCATTGAGCAAACGTATTACTCACGCCAACTCCCGAAATCACTCATCGGGCAAACGTATTATTACTCACGCCAACTCTATAAGTACGTGTTTGGAGCAGTTGTCCACCAAGGCAAAGATAGCCAGCAGATCCTGGATGACGTGTTCATATTCACTTGGTGTGAACATGAAAACCGCAAGGACAGCACCCTGATAGCCTCCGCCCTCAACCTCTGCTTCACTGAACGCATCCATGGCCGCCTCCAAGATGCCACCGACCTACGTCTATTCAGTGACTCATGCTATGGCCAGAACAAAAAATGTCAACGGGATAGCAATGCTCTGTGCGCTGCGGAAGAAGCATTTCCCTGACTTGGTCATTGAGTACACGTTTGCTGTTAGGGAGAAGAGTTTCCCGCCTGCTGACCGTGTCTTTGGGCACATTGAGCTGGAGCTCCGCAAGAAGAACACCATTTTGCTACCAGCTGGTTACTATGCAGTTCTGCAAAAAAACATAGCACACTCCTCGTGTACAAGAACCACTGGCAATCGTGGGATTACAAGGCAGTCATAACATGGCACACTCCTCGTGTACAAGAACCACTGGCAATCGTGGGATTACAAGGCAGTCATAACATGGCACACTCCTCGTGTACAAGAACCACTGGCAATCGTGGGATTACAAGGCAGTCATAACATGGCACACTCCTCGTGTACAAGAACCACTGGCAAGCGTGGGATTACAAGGCAGTCATAACATGGCAATCTCTCCTGGTGTACAAGAACCACTGGCAAGCGTGGGATTACAAGGCAGTCATAACATGGCACTCTCTCCTGGTGTGCAAGAACCACTGGCAAGCGTGGGATTACAAGGCAGTCATAACATGACACTCTCTCCTGGTGTGCAAGAACCACTGGCAAGCGTGGGATTACAAGGCAGTCATAACATGGCACTCTCTCCTGGTGTACAAGAACCACTGGCAAGCGTGGGATTACAAGGCAGTCATAACATGGCACTCTCTCCTGGTGTGCAAGAACCACTGGCAAGCGTGGGATTACAAGGCAGTCATAACATGACACTCTCTCCTGGTGTACAAGAACCACTGGCAAGCGTGGGATTACAAGGCAGTCATAACATGGCACTCTCTCCTGGTGTGCAAGAACCACTGGCAAGCGTGGGATTACAAGGCAGTCATAACATGGCACTCTCTCCTGGTGTGCAAGAACCACTGGCAAGCGTAGGATTACAAGGCAGTCATAACATGGCACTCTCTCCTGGTGTGCAAGAACCATTGGCAAGCGTGGGATTACAAGGCAGTCATAACATGGCACTCTCTCCTGGTGTGCAAGAACCATGGGCAAGCGTGGGATTACAAGGCAGTCATAACAGCACACACGAAAAGCACACGGTCATTCAAGGTCTCGGAGGCCAAAGTGATCAGGATCATGGGCGATGGCATCAACATGAAGACGGCTTACAATGGAGAATATTGTCAGCACAGCATCCTCAAACGTGGGACCACAAATGGGGCCAGAAATGGGACCAGTTCTCACCATCCCGGTTGCCTCTTACGAGTACCGTAAAGGCTGCCAAGAAGAAAGACGTGCTGGCACTCCTCGATCCAACTGGTGATAGTCATGCAGTGCATGCCTTCTATCAAGCAGCGTTAGTCAATGTGGGTGGTGGTGTTGGTGGTGGTGTTGCTGGTGGTGTTGCTGATGGTGGTGATGATGCAAGTGGATGTGATGACTCTGAAGAAGAGATTTGAACTTGGCTGTTGTACTTGGTGTACTGATGGTTTGTTTGTCACTCGCAGTCGCATTGCTTGTTCATGTTGCTGTCTCCTTGTGTATACTGTCTCCATCCTTTCATATTTTCGGCACACATGATGTATCTAGCTGCCCTGTTTAGTTCCCAGCCTGTGATACTATGAACACCTTTTTTCTATATTGTACACTGTGGTCTCTCCTGGGTCTTGATCCAATATTCTCACCCGCATATACTGCGTTTGCCAAATAGAAGGTGAAAAATTCAAAATATATCAAAATCTTAGAAGTAGATTTTTGATGACATGGTGTTTGGGGTCTAGTATTCCTTCTGGTACTAAATCCAAACTTCCATTGGGGTGGGATGTAAGACAATGTCAGAACAGAATTTTGACTTTACCCAAAAAGTGCCAAAATGGATATACCGTGTTTTTTCTCAAACTGAAGTTTTCTTTGAAACTCGGGTATTGAGCCAATAATAAAAGTAGAAAGGAAAAGGACATATGGAAACGAGTTAAGAGTAACTCTCCACCACTGTACCTAGATACTATATACAGTCAGAAAGTGCAACAACTAGGCACACAACTGACAGAGTACTGAGACATTCGACGTCCTGACACCTAGCTTCAACACATCTCCGTAGCGCTAACCGACAGCCTTCCAACTTGGAAGGTTCAAGGTTATGGAAAGACCAAAGAGGGGAAGGCAAGCGAATTGTAGTTAGACAGCTTTGTCAAATCGCCTACTGGTCTCGTCATCGTCCAGTGACAATCGACATTCTTTGTTCCGTTGGGACTGTAGCTTGTGCTCGTTTTCGTTGCGCTTGCCTTCCCCTCTTTGGTCTTTCCATAACCTTGAACCTTCCAAGTTGGAAGGCTGTCGGTTAGCGCTACGGAGATGTGTTGAAGCTAGGTGTCAGGACGTCGAATGTCTCAGTACTCTGTCAGTTTTGTGCCTAGTTGTTGCACTTTCTGACTGTATATAGTATCTAGGTACAGTGGTGGAGAGTTACTCTTAACTCGTTTCCATATGAAGTATTCTTACTTGAGAAACTGTAGAATCAAGCTTGAACATATTACTGAACCTCCCATATTACTGAACCTCCCATAATACTGAACCTCACATATTACTGAACCTCACATATTACTGAACCTCCCATATTACTGAACCTCCCATATTACTGAACCTCCCATATTACTGAACCTCACATATTACTGAACCTCCCATAATACTGAACCTCCCATATTACTGAACCTTACATATTACTGAACCTCCCATATTACTGAACCTCCCATATTACTGAACCTCCCATATTACTGAACCTCCCATATTACTGAAC